TGGTTTTGACTGACAGCTTTGTTTTGCCATATTTGACTTTGTTCTCTTCCCCCGCAAAAAAGTAGTAAGAACTAAGGAGTAATAAAATCCAAAATGTGTAAATTTTGTTGTAAAAAAGAGAGGGGAAAAAAAAAGAGCTCTAACGGATATAACAGCAAGTGTGTTTAGGGGTGTTAAATAGCTGACTATATTAATGTTTTTGGATCATTGAACACAGCTGTTTGCAGTCTCTCTGTTTGAATGTCCACTTTGTATTCTTTGATACTGTGATTTGAGCAACTATTTCTAAGATGATAATATGTAATCTATTAACAGGTGATTTCTTACTGTTTTTTTTTGTAGTTCTGTATTACGTGTACCCTTACACCACTTTGTTTTGTTTTGTGTTTCTCTCTTTTTCCTCTTAAATAAAATTTTAAAAAAAATATTTAATAGTATTTTCTAATAAAACTTATGATGTATAAATTTTAATTTCAAATATAACAAGGTAAAGGCATCTAGGAGCTGCATGCCAGTACTGGGGAGGTGAAAAGGGCCTCAGTGAAGCTCCAGCAGACTTAGCTGGCACCTGGAGGCTGGTGTGATCCACAGGTCACTACAAATTAGAAACCACACAGCTGGCCATTCAGAAGATGAATGAATGAAAAAAGCATTGTATCTTTATATGAATTTAATGAAATATTGTGTAGAGAAAAAAGAAAGAATTTATGACCTGGTAAAATACCAATGAACTTTGAAGATATTATGCCAATAGAATCAGAAGGAAACTAAGAGATGGAGGAGGATGGAGGAGAGGAAGGGCAATATAAAATTAGTTAGTATTTTATCTATTCATATGCCAGATCTCCAATACAACTGTAATCATTGTGTGCTTCAAACATACTAATAACAACAAAAACCTAAAAAGATAAAGAAATCAGTAACAAAAAGATAAATACTATATGATTCAACTTATATGAGACACATAGAATAGTCAAACATGGGTACAGGGAGAAGAATGGGTGATTCCAGTGAATATGGGAATGGAGAATTGGCTGACTGCTTCTTTTTTGATTTTAAAGATTAAGACAAAAGAAGACAGAACAAAGCAGATCAGAACAAAACAATGTAAGCAACACATCACTTAAAACAAGACAACCGGATTTTATTAGTAGCTACTATATTGTCTCTTTCTTTGAAATAGTTGGCATACCTTCATATACAATAGTACCAAACATAACAAAATAGTACAAAATCATTTAAGAGAATGAAAATATTACTTAGGTTGTTTCCAAGATCTGGCTATTACAAATTGTGCTGCTATAAACATGAATGCACATATATCACTGTGCTGTGATGCTTTCAGTTCTTCTGGGAATATGCCTACAAGTGGAATAGCTGGAACAAATGGGACTTCCAATCTCAGCTTTTTTAGAAATCTCCAGACTAACCTCCACAATGGTTGAACCAGTCTACATTGCCACCAACAGTGCGGGAGAGTTCCTTTTTGCCCACAGCCTCCCCAGAATTTGTTGTTGGTAGTTTTCTTGATCCTGGCCATTCTTTCAGGAGGAGTGAGATGAAATCTCGGGGGGGGTTAATTTTCATTTCTCTAATGAGTAATGATGAACATTTTTTCATGTATTTATTTGCCATTTGTATTTCTTCATCTGTGTATTGTGTATTCATCTCAGATGCCCATATTTGGATTGGATCTTTGAATTTTGGGGGTCTGATTTTTTTTTAATTCTTTATATGTTTTAGACAGAAGTCCTTTGTCTGAGGGACAATTAACTAAGATTTTTTCCCAGTTTGTGGGTTTTCTTTTCACTACGCTGGAGATTTCTTTTGACATGCAGAAACTTTTTTAATAAGACATGATCCCAGTTATCGATTCTGGAAATTATTTCCCATGTGGTTTGATTCCTGTTCATGAATTCTCTACCTACCCCTATGTCTTCAAGGTTTCTACCCAATTTGTCTTCCAATAGATTTAGTGTTTCTGTTTTAATATTCAGATCTTTGATCCATTTAGAATTTAATTTAGTACATGGTGATAGGCATGGGTCTAGTTTTAGTTTTCAACATATGAGAGCCAGTTTTTCCAACACAATTTATTAAAGAGACTGTCGTTCTTCCAGTGAACATGTTTGGCCTCTTTATCAAAAATAAGTTGCTCGAGTATGTTTGTAGTTGTGGTTGGGTCTCCTAATCTATTCCACTGATCTAGAGGTCTTGTTTTTATTCCAATATCATATTGATTTTATTACAATTGCTTTGTAGTACAACTTCAAGTCAGGGAATGTGATGCCTCTTGCCCTGCCTTTGCTGCTTAGAATTGTCTTTGCTATTCTAGGTCTCTTCTGTTTCCAGATGAATTTTATGTGATTTCTCTAGATCTATGCGGTATGTTGATGGTACTTTTATTGAGATTGCATTGAATCAGTATAACAGTTTTGGAAGAATGGCCATTTTCACAATATTTATTCTTCCTATCCATGAACAATGGATGTCTTTCCATTTTCTGAGATCTTCAATTACTTTTTCCAGGGTATTATAATTTTCCCTGTATAGATCTTTTACTTGTTTTGTGAAATTAATTCCTAAGTATTTCTCTTTTTTTGGATGCTAGTGTGAAGGGTGTGGCTTCTCTTATTTCTCTCTCAGTGATTATTTTTGTTAGTGTATAGAAATGCTATTGATTTTTGAATATTGATTTTATATCCAGCTACGTTACTGAGATGGCGGCAATGGGGAGAGTGCCAGGCAACACTCACCTCTACATTGGCATGCCTTAGTGGCTCCTTTGCCATGGGCTTAGCTCCTGACCTGATGGCCCCCTAGCACAAGGGGACCTGCCTCCTTCCCACTGCGTCTAGTGTGGCCCATCCACTGTTTTTAAAGTATATGATTTCAAACTTATGTTTCAGTTTTACAATGTTCATCACTTCTTTTTATTTCTTTAATATTTGTCTATTCTACAGCATTTTGGTTATTCCAATATCTGAAGTGTTGGAGATTTATTTTTTTTCAGTGACTTCTCCGAAAACTACATTGTGAAATATTGAATAATTTTAAAACTATGTGCTCATAAAAGCTTAATGAAATATAGTAAATTATTGAAATAAAGTTTCACTCCTCACTTGCTGTGGTGCACTAACATCAGATATTTGAATTACATTTTGTTAATTTTGAAATCAAACACCACTTGAAGGAAAACTTGTATTACAATTGTGTCCAAATTTATATTCTGTCTTGCCACTTCTCATGCTTCCATAAAGATCTACTTAAACCTGGCAGGGTGAAGCACACTACAGTTGCATCAGTTCGGAGGCAGAGACAGGAGGTTTGCCACAAATTTGAGAGCTGATCAGGCTATGTAGAATGTTCAAGGACAGATTGCCCTAAATAACAACACACTATCTAAGAAAAACTAAGAGAAAGTAAGAAAGAAAGAAAGAAAGAAAGAAAGAAAGAAAGAAAGAAAGAAAGAAAGAAGAAAGAAAGAAAGAAAGAAAGAAAAAAGAAAGAAAGAAAGAGAAGAAAGAAAGAAAGAAAGAAAGAAAGAAAGAAAGAAAGAAAGAAAACGGAAGGAGAAACAGTAGAAGGAGGAGGAAGAGAGGAAGATGGAGGAAGAGGAGAAAAAGGAGAAGGAGGAGGATGAGAAAGAATAGGAGTATTAGGAGGAGGAGAAGGAGAAGAAGAAAAAGAAATTCTTAGTATAAACTCAATTCTTGCATTGTACTGCTGATGAACTAATCAGAGGTGAAAAATTCTATACCCTGTCTCTTAGAATATTTAAATAAATTAGGTGAGTTATCTGTGAATGCCTCATAAGCAAAACAAATGTTCATTTGCTGAGTATCCTGACTTTAGGTAATTCTTCATAGTTGGTATATGGGATTACAATTATCTTAGTAAATATTCCAGGATTTTTAAATGAATGCTTACGTCAATTTAGAATAGCAAGTTTTCAAACTGAATAGCTTGTGGGACCACCTACACTGGCAATACCCACATGACACATGTTTAAAAACAAGACTCTCAGACTCACATCACACAGATATTATATGGCATAAGAAGATATTTTGAAAGAACTTTAGAATTTGGCATGTATACATTCTCTGTTGCTTCTAACATTCTATGATGACAAAAAATATTTCAAGCAATTCTAATTTCATTTTTGAAATGGAAGTGACACCAAAACTTGATAGTGATATTGTCATACTATTGAAAAGGATACAATTCTTACAGTTCTTGATTTTCTTTTATTTAAACTAAATACCCAGTTAAAAATTGAAATAATGATATTGTCCATTTATCATTATTAGATGCCACATTGTATTTATAACTATAGATGCTTGTAACAGTGTAAATTCAGCAAAAGAACATAAACCTGTTAGCCTTGTTTTGTTATGCAATGATAACATTAAATTATGTCCAGACAATACCATATTCAGTTGATTTTGCGAATTCCTGATATTTTTTAAACCATGTAATAAACCAACAGTTATAGTTAACTCAGACAAAGCTATTTCTATTTGGCAGACACCTACACACATCACAGTAATAATTAATTGATTTACTAAGTTGTTAAAAATATCAAATTGTTTGTCCAATTTTCATGTTCTCTTCCATCTTTTTTTAATTGAGTTATTAAGGCTTATGTGAAGTAAAATAAGCTCTACATGTGAAACCATGAAACAGTTTAAAAACAATATTTGTATAACTGTAAAACTGTAAGCACAAAATTCCAGGAATTTATATCTGTTTCTTCAGTCTTTGAAATGAGAAAAAATTTCTAATTGCTAAAAATATAATTAGAATGCACATGCTTCCTTAGAGAGATATATTATTAAACTATGTTGTATATCTTGTCAGCAACATATATCAAGGTAAATATGTTTAACAGATAAACCATCATTACATATATTTCCGTGAACATACAGAAAGTCAAATCAATTGTTCATTGTCAGAGATATTACCCATCATTCATTTTACAAATTTTTACTATCTTTTGCCTATTTGGATCTAAAAAATGTCATCACTCTTTCAGTTCTCATGAGCACTAAAGGACTGATTGTGGCATAGCCATTGCCAACCAGAATCTGGATGCAAAGACGAATTTGGTCAAAGTTCCACAACATGTAAGAAGTAGAGGAAATAATGTTGTCCAAAATGTACATGACAATAAATAAATTCATGAGCACCAAAATAATCCTGGTGGCCCTTTGTTCTGCAGATGCTTTTGGAGACAGACTGGTGCTGTGAAGATGCTGGGACTGTCTTTTATGCCTGCACAAGAGAATCACCATGTACCCACTTGAGAGCGCCATGAGCCCTATAAAGGTCATGTGCTGGAAACTCAGCAGTGAGATAGATGTGTATTTCAGAGAGGAACTAATAGGCAAAAAGGAGCAGGATCGAGTGACAAACATGAGACTGCCTAAGGTCACATTGGAAGTGGTAACAGTGGAGATTAAGAAATGACCATTGATGAGCATATTGAAGGCCCATATGAAGACAAAGCAATACAGGTTCTGCTGTAGGGATTTCTGTTTGAACTTTGCTAAACAGGAGCTTCTGGGGCTGAGGGTGATGGCCTGGCAGACACTCAGCAGGCAGGTGGTACAGACAGAGAGGCCCCTCATCAATCTGTGCAAATAGATAACACATTTACATGCGATGTCATCCTCCAACTTCTGAAACCCAAATATATCTATAGCTATGAAGCCCAAAGTTAGAAGCATCCCAGCATGTATAAGAGCCAGGTGACCAATAATCAGATCAGTAGGCTTGGGCCTGTGCTCCAGAAGGAATTTTAGGACATGAAAGAGTAGCAGTACCATGTTGGCTATGACTCCAATGCTGACTTCAAAAAAGACTATGTATTGTACACCAATAAATCTTGAAAGTATGTTGTATTTATACATCTTCGTGGAGGAAGCAGCAAAGAGTAGCCATCTGAGAAAAAAGAGTGGATAATGCTTTATTACAAATTTTACCTCTTTTGTCAATCTCAACCAACCCTATACCTTCACCAAAATACATGCATTTGTCATGATGAGTCCTTTTTCCATTGCCTTACTCAAGTCCACCTCATGCTCTTGGCTCTCCCCCGTCCCACTCCTTCTCAGTTATGGTTGTGTTATAAGTCTCCTTGCTGGGCTCCAATAGTGCCTCTGCATAAAAACTGTCATGCATCACAGATGTTTTCATACTTTTGTCTCACTTTTAGTTTCCAAAGTCCAATCCACTGTTTTATTTACCTTCATATCTACACTCATTTTTTCAACACATTAATCTTCCATGTGATATGCCTAGAAAATAGAACAAAACATTTAATTTCATTACCTCATTTTATCTAATTTTGTGAATCATATATCATATGAAACACAGTTGTAAATGTTCTTGACTTTCATTTACTTATATGTGTCAAATACTTATCTCATAATTTGATTTTATATAAATTCCAAAATATGTAATGATAAAGTCTAAAAAATAACATTAATAGATGTCTAACATTTTAAGAATATTTTAAAGTAATGATATGCAGTAAAGTATCAATGGTCAAATTGTCTATACATATGATCTCTCTGAAATTGTAAGTAAATTTTCATTTTGCACCAAAACTTGAATTCAACCTACACATAATATTGTGAAATTGAACAGGAGAGTATTCAAATCTTCCAAGACTGAGGGAACAGGACCGTATTTGTTTCAGAATTATTGAAGGAGACTATGCAAGTCAAGGCAAGTGAGATAAGTGCAGTAGGTGTGTGGTAGGTGCTGCAAGTTTATGTATCATTGATGGAATATTGGAATCAACATTACGAGAAACTTGGAAAATTCGTTGTAGAATAAAATCTCTCTCCAGAGTACTAATCTTTAAAAAGTGACAGAATTTGGTGCAGTCACAATCATTCACTTGCATTAGCTCCCATGGAACACACAGAGAGATGACAGTAAATAGCACCATAACCCAGCTGTCTAGAAATCCATGAATCATATGACCTGCATTATCAAAATCATACTCTAAATATCTTTGTACTGTATGTGCATATAAATGATACAAAGAAAGTTACATAATGAATTCTGTGTTAAAATATTTCCATAAGGATATTTAGTCAGGAGAGTAAGAACATTTCATAAAATCAAAATTAAATCATCCTCTATCATGTTTCCTTCCAGTTATGCTCCTTCTATCTCATCCTACCTACTACAAGCACAGTTTAGAGACCAGGGACTTACAGGAGCTCTCTGCCTCACAGCTCTGAGAGATGATGAAACTGAGAAGCTGACCTGCAGTTCCAAGCAGGAAAATCTAACTTAACTCACTGGAAGAAACAATCTGCTCTGGGAACTGGAGATTAATACATAAATGAATATATCAAAGGAAAGTAATGCAGAATGCAAGGTATGGGTTATCCCCCACTCAAAGGAAGAAGGAGCACACTGGAGAGCATGGGAAAATCTCAACCTAAATAGAGGAAGACATTAAAAAGTGAAAGCTGTGCATTACTTTTTACCAATTACTCTTGGCAGCAATCAAAAGTCACAATGAATTCTGATATATCTTTGTAAGAAATGCAATATAGTCCACATTACTATCAATACCATGATCCAGGCAATGTTCACTTGAAATATGGTGCTATTTCTGTAATTTCCAAGACCATAGGTAATCCTGTGATACATGTTATCTTCAAATGGCCCACAACAGGGAGAATAAACTCAGGTCCATGGACTTGAGCCAGTGGCAGAAAAGATCTGTTATCATTGGTGGGACAAAAGGCTGTGCAGAAGATTAAGTTTAGATACCTCTGGACTTGTGGGTGAGCTAATTACATGGTGAGAAGTGAGGCAGGGAGGAGTTTTCTCCTTTCTCTGTTGCAATGTGAGTGTAATCAGCATGTCACTCAGGGATGAAACGATTAACTTCTGGCACTTAAATATAAGAAGGGTAAACCTTGGTTTCTTACATTGTCTAAATAGGCTAAATCTTACATCATTAATTGTCTTCAAATACTGTCCTTACCTATAAGGAAGATAAACGGAAAGTCGGCCTAGTTGTTCGAATCACCAGGAACGTGGCATTCAGTATGTCTGTGGGTATGTTAATCAGCAGCTTTCACTGTTTGACTTGAGCGGGGTAATTAGAGAAAAATAAAGAAGAAACATCTGGCACCTAAGTTGAAGGCAAAGTCATCACCAAGTCATTGGTCAAACAGTTTTTGTGAAATTTATTACTTTCTGAGAAAAGAAGACAATTTCAGAGTTATAAAGTCGATGAATTGCAGCCACCTAACTTCCAAAAAACAATTAAAAATGTCTATTGTTTCATCAAATTTGCACATGTTGCTTGCTCATTCAAGCATATTCATAATACCAGATATCTACATGCTTTTGAGAAAAATCAAAAGAAGGTGACTGTAATTGCAAAGTACCAAAATAGGAAAATTCTAGTGATAATTTGTGACAAATGTGAAATAGTCATTGCACAGAAATATGAACTGAGTTTTTCACTTAACCTAGACCAGTTTCACTTTCATTTATTGTAATATCTCTTAATTTGTCAGCAAGAAAAGAAAGCAACATAAATTTATTTGTTGACAATGGTGCTGAAATAATCAGTGATCTGTTAACAAAGCTAACACCATGTATGTATACAAAGCAGCACAGCTGATATTTTGTTCACATTTTTCCCATATGAAATGGATTTTACTATATTTATTATCAGCGAAAGTAAAAAAGATATTTTTAAAATTCAAATGGAAGAAGAAAATAAGAGGCAGAAAAGTGATTTTCCTCATGAAATTCTGGCAGATTGCAATCTTAGACTGTTTTTAAGAAAGGCAGGAAAAATTTCTATTTTCATCATTTTGTTTTTTTGACTGTCACTGCTGCCCAGATGTTTGAGTCTTTAATAGATTTCCTAATAGGCAGAGGGCATGATTCAGTGTGAACACAATTAAATTAAATTTGTGAAATAATAATAAGATAAGAAATGGAAGTATGTAAAATGTTAGTAACTATATTTTAGGAATGAAATGAAGCACTCCTTTTAAGTAGATGCTTGAAGCAGAGAATCTTGTATTGAAAAATTTTAAATGTTTCATATAACTAAATTACAGAGGTTACTTTAAAAATTATTGGCTTAGTTGCCTTACAAAGGTGACAGAAAAAAATGAGAATCTTTAATGCAAAAATCATTGATAAAATTTATCTTTCATCACAGTAGAAAATACAAATTTACAGCTTTTAGTTTAAAGTGGCAAGGTAATACACCCCTTAAGGATTAATTTAGGTAATCAATGAAAATTACTTAATTCAGAGAAAACAATGTATACCTGAAAATAGTTTGGTTCTTCATATGGAAAAAGTCCAATAATTTATGAGTCATTGAAACACTAAATACTCTAACAAAATAACTACACATCTTAGTGCAATAAATTGTCCTCCAAGTTCTATGAGGACTGGAGGTGAATAGCTCATGTGAAGCTACCCAAATAGACCCTGCTTGCCTCCTTCCATAGCCTGCCTAGAACCTTGCTCACCCAACTAACACGTCCCTCAAATACAGAGGCACTCACCGACTGGGATGTGTGGAAGAGTTCAGTGTGCCTAAGAGCCAATCTAGTTTCAAGGAAAATACCATCAGTTTATCTCTCTCTGGACCTGTAATTTTAGTGTCAGTAGGAAAGTGACAAGATCCACTAAGGAGGACAGAAGGATGGGGTACCCAGGAGACATTTTATCTATCTCAGCTTGATTTTACTCTCTGCTAGGTCATACCCTTCCTGGGAGAGCTGTACTCAAAGTTTTTTTCTAACTTCCATTGACAGGAAAGTGTTAAGATAAGATGGGTCATTATCATGTAGACAACACCAATTATTCATTGTAATTCCAAATCAAATTAGACTAAGTCCAATGAATTCTTTGTGATTCCTGTGCTCCCAGGTGAGACTCCTGAATGCTCCTGGGAGTTCCCAATGGATCCACTGTCCTTGTCCAAGAATGAGTTTTAGGCAACTGAGTCTCTAATTCATTCTCAATCGGAGCATGGGTTTTCTAGGAATTACTGGTCCTGTATCCTGTCATTTCCAATTCTAATTCAGCTTTCAATCATTGTGCTAAATTTAAATGTAGATTTAAAATACAACAAAGTGAAAAGTTAAAGGCAAAACTGGAGGGTGGAATCTTATTTTTTTATGTAATATTTTTATTATTATTTAAAGAAAGACAAAACAAAATAGAAAATGGGCAGAAATTGTACACACTTTCAAAGAAAAGAAATAAACAGTAATAAGTCACTAGGTGATGTATACATATTGTCCCCTCACAAATAGTTGTTCAAGATACAAAGGTGGAACATATAAATAGGAATTCAACCAGGGAGACTGCAAACAGTTCTGTTCAACTATCCAATAAAAACTAAGTCATATGGCTACCAATCCTATCCACTTAAATACACATGCAGTTACCCATATCTTCATTTATGTTGAGACCTAACAAAACTTATTAGATTAAAATCCTTCTGAAAAAAGATTAATAATATTGCTGAATTTCACATTATAACACTCTGCAACCAGCACTGGGTACTGCAGTGTCCCTTTCTTTCCTTCAAATATTTGTTGATTTCATCATGTGTCATAGATCAGTTCTCATAAACTGTTCATAGGTTTTATGCAAGCATGAGTGTTAACATGTATTTCTATCCTTTCTATATGAGAGGGAGAAACAGAACAAAGCAGGACAGAACTAAATGTATTCCTACAGACACATAAAACTTAAGAGACATATAAGTCTGCTGTACAAGGGAGTTCTACCATGGTTACCGAGTTGTCTCTTGTTATCATCAATAGAATTAGCTATATCATCAGAAAGAGTATAATTGAATATATCAGTATATAACAGAATTAATAGAAATACAACT